ATTATACCTGAATGAAGTTGTTTAAAAGTGGAAAGATCCATAGCTAACATCATACTTAATGGTGAAAGACTGAAAGCTTTCCCACTAAGATCAGGAACAACATAAGGATGTCTCTCCTTACCACTTCTATTCAACATGGCACTGGAAATTCTAGCACGAGCAATTAGGAAGAAAAAGAAATAAAAGGCATTTAAGTTGGAAAAGGAAAGATGAAAAGATCTTACATACAGAAAATCCTGATGAATGACAAAGCCACCAAAAAAAACCTATTAGAGTTAATAAACAAATTTAGCAAAGTTACAGAATAGCAGAACAGAACTCAAAAGTCAGTTGTATTTCTATACATCAGCAATGAACAATCCAAAAAGAAGATTAAGAAAATAATTCCATTTACAATTTTATAAAAAAGAATAACTTAGGAATAAACTGAAGGAGGTATGAGACTTGTACACTGAAAACTACAACATGTCACCAAAAGAAATTAAAGGACATCTGAAATGTGCACTCCGGATTCCCTCACCTCCTTCAAGTGTGTGCTCAATTGTCAACCTTCTCAGTGAGGCCTATCCTGATCACCATCTTATTTAATATTGCAGCCCACTTTCCTCCTTACCCTGCTCCACATTGCCCCCAAACTCATTGTAGTGTATTATATAATTTATTTTCATCATGGTTATTGACAGTCTCCTCAATTAGGCAACAAAACTCAATGACAGAAGGGATTTTTGTCCTTTATTCACTGATATATCCCGGGCAGGCACTCAAATACTTTTTGTTAGCATCATGTGGTCTAACCCCTTCACTTTACAGATGTGGAAACTCCAAAGTGACTTGAATCAAAGCCACCCAGCGAGTAAGAAAAAAAGCCAGGAATAAGTATTGTGACTCCCAGTCCAGTGTCATTTCTACTACAGCTCACTATCTCCCTGACCCTCAAACATTACAGAAAATTCACAATCATCCACATTTTCCCCCCAGGATTTACCTTTGGAATTTCTTGGCTTTGCAAATGCTCCTGTGTCTGTAACACAGAAATGCTCTGAAAAGACAGTAGAAGCCTGTACTGGAATACTAAGTGTTGATAGATGAATAGAAGAAGATGGCTGATTTGTAAGGGTTATCCCAAAGCTTTGATAGAGGGTCTGGGGTTATAATCGCGTTTCTGATGACCCAGAAACAAGTTAAACTAGAAGATGACTGACTGCCACTGTGGCTAGACAGCAAACTGCTGCTGAATGTTGGCTGGTGCTGTGCTATGTTTTTTTGCAGGGGAAAGTTTGACTGCTGTCTAACGTCTGAAGCACTTGAGGCTGCTCTAAAGGCTGTATTACATATTGTTGTTCCATTGCCACTGGTTGTAACTATTCTCACAAAGGAGGTATAATCTGGACCATGTCTATACTGGCCTTTGGAATACCTGGTAATGGCTGAATGTGGTTAGGTGCCTGTGAATGAGGCACCTGCTATTGGAAAGTAGCATGTTGGCTATACAAAGATTGATGTTGATTTATGGGACCTTCCTGGGCTGACAACTGATGGCTTTTCTGTGCTTGCCTATGAGATGAATGAGTCATCTGCTGATGCTGAATGAAAGCTAAGTGAGAAACCTGGCTTGATGTTAGATGTGATTGGGAAAGCTGTGCAGAGAAGTGTGGGGGCTGGATCTGGGTCTTTGAGGAGGCCTGCTGAATAAAGGACATTTGTTCAAGGTGTTGAAGCTGTCCTTCCACAGCCCTCCAAGATGTAATGCTAACTGACTGGGCTTTTAGCTGCTGGTGCCCCAAACTGACATCTGCTTGGGATGGAACTGCTGAATTCTGCACATTAAATAAAGGCTCAATAAAATGTGTTTGTGTATCTAAGGTTGATGTTAAATATTTGTTCCAACACTGAAGAATTAATATCTTGGGGTTGTGTTAAATAGGCTTGTTGCTCAGAAGTCTGTGCTACATAAGATGGTACTGAGTGTAAGTCCTGATCTGCAGAGCTTGTAGTATGTACTTGCTTACTATCAGGAGGTTTCATTGTGTATATCTGCTGGGTTACGAAGGTTGCCTGTTCAGTTGTCTGGATGGTGTGAGAAGCCTGTCCTGAATAAGGGGCATGCTCAAGAGGCAGTGCCTGGTAAGCAGGCTGTTCTATAGGTAAACTGCTTGGATCATACGTGCTGGCTGGTCTGGAAAAGGTGACTGAACCAGAGGTTGCACTGTACATGCAGGCTGCCCTTGGGCTGCAGTCAAATAAGAGGGCTGTACCGCAGGTAGGACTGGATAAGTCTGTGTAGAATAGGTCGGCTGTGATCCTGGTGGTTGTACAGTGTAGAGGATGCTCTGTGGCTGGCAGTGAATGAAAAGGCTGTGCTGGAGCCAGCATTGGGTAAGTTGACTGTGAAGGGTAAGAAGCTTGTTCCTGGGGAAGTATCACAAAGGGCAGCTGCTCAGAAGCCTTCAGTGGGAGGGATGGCAGTTCTGCAGGTGGTCCTGAATAAGTATGTTGAACAGAATAAGATGGCCATTCCAGGGGCTGCCTCACACTTTCAATACTACCTTTTGGCTGCTGCTGACTTGCATGAGTTTCAAACTCTCACAGAGTACAACCCTGCTGAACATTTTTCTGTGGTGATGCCATAACCTTAGGTTGTAAAATTAATGACTGCTGCTGAATAGAGGCTTGGAAACAAGGCTTCTTCAAGTGCACAGTCTGGCTTTGTGGCACTGAAGAACCTGGAATTACAGACTCCAGATGTACCACTGAGTATGGCTGGGATACTGAATGTATCTTTCGTGAAGGCTGATGTGCCCCTGAATGCCACTCAATGGGATTAAAAGGGAGCTGAGCTGTACCAGCAGGATTCTGTGCACTGCTCACATACTGGGCAAAAGAATGATTCAACAAAGCTTGCAGGTGATTAACTGGTAAGAAGTTAGAAGTCTAATTGGCATTTGGTAATTTGGTTAATGCCTGTTTCCCATTTCTAGGGTCAGACTCAAGGTGAAGACCAACTGTTGGATGCTGGGAAGTCATTTATAAAGCAGACAATGTCTGCAGAGAAACTGAAGAAAAGACTGGTTGTGGATTTCCAGTAACTAACAAGTCTAAAGTCATAGGTTTAGCTGAAGTTTTCAATCTGCTCCGAAGGTCAGCTGAAGTTCTTGGTGCTGGTGCAAGGAAAATTCACATTATAAATGCATATATCATGCCCATTTTAATGGGACTGTCCCAGATAGAATGATAGTTAAAATAATGCTTTATTCTAAAAATTTCAGGAAGTTATCAAAAAGGTACTGGGTATAGCATTAGTCCTATAAAAATCCTAGTACCATGAATAAACGCTAATTGAATGCACCAAGGGGCTGAAACCAGTGCCAGCAATATTCCGCTCATGGCTTCTCACTTATTGCACTTGCCACATAACTCATTCAAACCCTGGCAGAAATTCAGAGTAACTGAATCTGACACCTTCACACACAAAACAGTGCAAGTTCCAAGAGAAAGCTCAAAGGATTTTAATATCATCGCTAAAGGGAACATAGAGGCTCTCTCAAGAGAGGAGAGAGTTGGCTAAATATATATAGGCTGGCTACAATAATTCCTAGAACTTGAACCACCATGTTCAATAAAAAGACTCCTCCTGGTCAAAGAGTTTGCTTATGTGGCTTCTGTATATTAGGTGAAAAGGGCAGGCTACAAAATAGTATGTATGTGATATACATATGTATGTATAAGCAAAGTTATGTATGTATACATAGAAAAAAAGACAAATCTAGAGGCTCTACCCCCAAATGTAAACAATAAGTTATTTCTAGTTGGAGGGATAGCAGGTGATTTTCAATGTCTTCTCTATAACTTTATGGGCTTTAACACTTCCATAAATTTTTTGAGTTTTTTTTTAATTTTGGAAACACATTTCAAAATACACATACCTGTATACTTATGTGGTTGAACCTAAGTTAATTTAAGCATCCATTCAACACATTTTGCATTATAGTCTTAAAAAGAGATAAATGAAATCACAGCATGAGCTCAATAATGAACACATACCATATCACTTACAAACACTAGCCAAACACCATACACTGTCAACCATATTAGATTAAATATACCCACAGCAGATTTTAAATGCAACCCCCATTTGCCAAGTATGTCTATACTTTCCTCTACAAGACTGTGAGCTCCTTGAGGGAAAGGACCATATTTTATCTTAATTTGTATCTCCAGAGATGGTAGTCATTAAAAGTTTGTTCAACTATGACTGACTATATAGCAATTTCTTAAAAGAAACAGATGCACCAGCTGCTAATTAAATCATATACAGAGAGTGCCTAGGAGTTTAGACCATCTCAGTCCCAAAGAGAAAATGTACACACAGGGGGTTATGGGATTGAGGAAAGAAAATGAGGTGATGGCAAATAAAAGCCCAGTCATGTATCCAGAGTCCATAACCTAGGAAACCAGGATATAGTCTTGATATATGAACTCTCACAAAGACTGTCTATTCACTGCCAGAAATTAATAACATTGACTTTGAGAGTCTAAATGACAAAAACACTTTTTCTCCTATAGAAATAAACATGAATCAAAAAAGTCAAGAATTTAGATGAAAGTGCTAAAAATTATAAAGGTATATGAAATACTATTTCTGATTAACTATAAAAGATATCCCCCCACATTCAAACCAGGCTGGAAAAGTCTAATACAAAGAACAAACCATCATTACCAAGAAAAAGGGATCTGAGTCCTAAATAATTTTTTTTTATCCATATACAAAATTCTCAGTTTCTTTTCCAATTATATAAGCAGCGTCTCAAGATTCTAGTTACACAATGTTAGGCACATCCTCAGAAAAAATGTCTTAAGTGAAAGGCAATATAAATAACTTTAGCTTTCAGTGACTTTTATATAAACTATGATGAATATATAAAAGAGAACTTCTGCCTGTCAGAAAATCCAGGCAGTATTAAATATGTTTAACTGAATAGAGTTTCTAAAATGTATCTTACCTTTACCTGTGAGACCTTCTGGACAGTTAATGGTGAAACTTGGGGTTGTGAGACAACTGGAGGTCCAACGGCATGTACAGGCAAAAGAGTGGAATGACCTTGAACTAAAGGCAAAATTTGGGGCTGAGTCAGCTTTGGCTGCTTCTGCAACTGTCAAATAAGAAAAAAAAGATTAAATATAAAATCTCCCATTAACAGTAAATATACTGATTATATATTTAAAAATATAACAGTTCACCTCACCCCTGAAATCTGCTGGTAATGTCCCACTAGTTGCTGGGATGGATAAATTTTCCCTGGAACATTTATTTCAGCCTGTGGGATGTTAGAAACCATTTGAGAGCCCATTATCTGGTCTGAGGAATAGGCTATACTGGGCTGACTTGAAGTATCTGAGTGTATTACTGATCCAGCTCCTGCCTCAGACAAATTGTCACCTACAACAAAGAAAACAAGCAACAGGTAGAAGGAAAAACTCAAAACACAAGGTCCAAATGACTAGGAAATTGTAAGTGTTTATTTTTTTGTTTTTTACTCTGACAACCTGAAACTGCTTCAAATAAAATATGTACACTACAGAATCAATCAAAAACCATCATGTAAACTCTCCATGCTGAAAATGTAGTGTAACTAAAATTTTCTTAGTAAAGCAAATCTAAAAACAATCACATAAAAGTCAACTTCATTTGCTGGCCATTTCATATATATTCCTAACTAATCTATATTTGCCATTAGGATTTCAGTAAAATCTAAGTGTCATGTTCTCATTCTCCTAGAACCTGGCTAGAAAATAATATTGCCTTTATAGAACAATTGGTTATTACTATGAAAATACTGTGTCCTTCCAGAGAAGAGAATGTATTACAGCAGAAAGATTATAGAAACTGTTAGTTTTATACTTGAGTCTAAAATACAAAGGGTCTTAAAGTTTAGAAAACTCCTTTTTGAGGAATAAATTCTATCTTTAGTTCCACATCTTCTTTATTAAAGGATTTATGTCAGGCCCTTAAAAATAGCAAAAAGATTATAACCCTTATTCAACTAATACCTTGGTCAAGTCACTTAACAGAACAGTTTACTTTTAAAATAAGGAAACTAGTTTGCTTGTCCATTTCAGGGAAGGACTGATGAAATGACAGATAACAAAATGCTTTGAAACATACAAAAGTATTATTTAAAGATAAAGGCATACAGTTACACGTTTCCTTGTATAAATTATAACTGTTACCTATAACAGAGGAGCAGTGCTGCTGTGGTTTTCTTTGTAGAAGCTGTTGTCGAACATGTTGATCAACTTCAGTTTCTTCGCATTCAGTGCCAGTGTGCTGAGCAGGAGGAGGGGGCAAAGTTGTATTCTGGGGCTGAGGGAGTACAATCCCCACAGACTTGCACTGGGAATCCCTGCGTTCTTCCAAACAGCCAGCTGGCTTCTTCTCCCTTGTCTTCTTTATCAGAGTCACCCGATCTCTAATGGACTTAGCAACAGCCTTGGAATCACTTTCATGGAAGAATCCTGACTTGACCTACAAACAAAATATAAGAAGCAAACCATATCTTTAACATTTAAGATTTTAACTTTTTTTACTAGCAGTTATTTTCTGCCCCCAAACCCCAAATGCTATTAAATAACAGTTAATTTGTTTCTATGTTCTTAATCAGACATGCATAAATGTCAGACCCTTTAATCAGCATAAGAAAAACAATACTATTACTAAGCACTATTGAAATAATTCTGGCTTTAAACAAAAACAAATAGCTTGATATTCAGTACATGCAATCTTATTATAGGTAATTTATGATTACCATTACGTTTTGTGAAAGATTAAAAAGGTTTCCTCATTCAGCAACATTAAGTGCCTACAATGTGCCCAGTACTGGGCTCCAAAGACATGTAAGTGCCTAAGCTGGTCCTCTGTCCTATATAAACACACAATTTGGTAGTGAGAGATGGATACAAACTTAACTACAAATGAAATAAGAGGTAGAAATGAGGGGCTGCAAAAGCCCTAAAGGAGCACAAGCCTCTTTTGTGGAAGTAGAGAAAGTGTCACAGAGGAAGGTAAAGCCTGACCTGGATTAGAACAAACCAAGGAACTTGCAGGCTATTAAGGGAGAGGTAGATGAGGAAGTATGTTCACAGTGAAGTGCTATATCTTACTAGGAATTAGAAGAGTGAGAGAAGAGAAAGAAGTTAAGGGCTTGTTGTCTGAAAGGAACAAGGCTGAGTAGCAGAGATGATGACTTGAGGAGGTGCCAGGACATAATCATTCTCAGTCCTACAATCTGCTTTTTAAAGCATGTCTTGGGGGTCTGAAGACTCAGGGAAATTTCATCGTACTTGAAAAATGATTAAAATATGAGATGGATTCTATATATTGAATTTCACTCCCTCTGGAAGCTCAAAGAGAAAAAAAAACCTCAGAGTAAATGGATTTTTTAAGTCATAAACTCCCAAGGATCGAAAAAATAAAGGCAACAGCAACAACAAATAACATTTTGGACATTTTGAGATATGGAAAACAAATAGATAATAACTGACCTAGCAGACCTGAAAAAGGTGAATCAGGGAAAGCTGAGAATCATTCCCATTTATTCTGAAGAACACTCATAACACACAGGAACTGGCAGCACCAGGTACTTCCAGAACGAGGTAAAGTCAAAAGAGATGACTAAAATAGGGAAGACTAAGTGAAAGGGTTTTGAGAAGCAGTTAGATGTTAGGTCTCTGTGCTCCACCTTCCATTCCATATCTTTGGGTGATTGCTCCTCCCCTACTCAAGAAGTCTGGAATTTTGTTCTCTGGAGAGGGTAAAAGAGAACATTTCTAGACTAGGGAACACCAGGCACAGTCTAGGGTATGGCTACCATGTGGAAAACAAGATTAAATGACCATATGCATGCTGAATGCCATATGCAGAAACTCCCAACTCTCTTTCCCACGTAGCTACCAAAATATCAGTAACCACATCCTCCAGGTAGGACACTGAAGGATGCTTCTCTGGAGAATCTGACCAATCTAAGAAGAAAGACCCACAAATATTTATGTCAGAGATTTCCCAATTATTGGCCCACCCAGATACCCTACAGTAAAAGTTAACAAGTCTGAGATAAGCTTCCATCCAGTCAACTTTGTTAGTTCCTGTAGTAGGCAAAATCATGGCCCCTCCAAGACACCATAGTCCTCAAACCTGTGAATATGAGATATCATTCCCATTATTGAGTTATACACAACTGACATTAAGATAGATTCTGGGTGGGCCTTTTACCAGCTAGTGATACTAGAAGGATTCAACATGCCATTGCTGACTCTGAAGATGGAGTGGGGGCATGTGAAAGGACTGAAAAACAGCCTCAAGGAGACCCCCAGCTAACAGCCAGCAAGGAAGACTTTACTCTTATAATCACATGGAACTGAATTCTGCCAACAACCTGGTTGAGCCCGAAAGAAGATTCTGTCCCAGAGTCTCCAGATAAGAGTCCAGGCTGCCAAACCTTGATTTTAGCCTGTCAGACTCTAAGCAGAGAATCCAGCAAAGTCTACCAGGACTTCTCACCTACAGAACTGAAATTATTTTAAGCCACTAAATCTGTAGTAACTTTCTATACAGCAACAGAAAACTAATACAGTCTCTCACTATTTATTAATCATGAGAAGCTGGCCAAACATAAACATAAATATGAGAAAAGCCTCCAACAAGAAAATGGAGCACAAAACCAACAAAGAAAAAGACAGCAACTTGGAGAAAAGAGACTATGCAGGAAGAGAAAAAATGTCAAAAACACTCTCTTCACTAAAATTACCAAGAGATGCAATAATACTACATCCACAAAACAAAAAACAAGATGCTTCCTCTAAAAAAGGAACAGACTGAAAAACAAAAAGGAACTCTTCAAATTGAAAACAAGATAGTAGAAATGAAAAACTCAATGGAAGCATAAAAGATATAGCTGACAATATCTTCCAGAAAGGAGAATAAAAAGACAAAAGGATGGAAAATAGAAAAGATAAGAACATTGGAGAAACAGTCTAAGAGGCCCAAAATCCAAATAACAGCAGTTCCAGAAAGAGAAAACAAAGGGAAAGAACTCATCAATAAAACACTTCAAGAAATTTCCCAGAAACTAAATGCTATGAGTCCACAGAGTATCCAGCACAGTAGATGAAAACAGACACAAATCAAGACACCCTGGGAAATTTCAGAATACTGAGAAGAGAAGATATTACAAGCTTCCAGAGAGAAAAAAATGGATCATGTGCAAAAGATCCAGAAAACAGAACATCTCTGTATTTCACATCATTACTGATAGCTAGAAAAGCATGGAGCAATGACTCCAAAATTTTTTAACTGCCAACCTAAAATAACTGAGCCAGCCAAATAATCAATTAATATGAAGATAGAATAAAGACTTTTTTGAATAAAGACTTTTTTTAATACATGCAAATCTCAAAGAATTTACCTCCTATATAGCCTTTCTTAATTAAGAAGCTAGCAGAGGAGGTATGCCACTAAAACAAAAGGATAAACCAAGAAAGAGAAAGACATGGGATTTAGGAAACATGAAATCCAATACAGGAGAGAAGCAGAGAAGTCTAGAAAGATAGTAAAGAGAAATATTAGTATGATAGTTGTGTACCAGATGTCCAAGACAATCATTCTAGATTAGAATTGTGTGACTAGAAAGAAACATGTTAAAGGCTATCACTCCAAGATCCCCACTGTCAATATGCCATACTTCTTTTTAACCTGAGGACAGAATGCCCAGGTGAGCCTGGCTCAGAGTATCTATATTTGGCTAATCTGACCACATGCTGCCGAGTCTACTGCACACCCTCCCTCCCAAGCACTGCAGCAGCCTGGATAGGGTGTGGACACTCATTCCACCCCACAGAGGTTATTTGCTGTCTCCTACTCTTGGGGAGGGGTCATGAGGAGATGAGAAGTAGAGAAGTCAGAGAGGCCCACTCCCTGTCAAACCATATTGTTACCAGGCAACTAATTTTTCTGGTCCACACAACAGCCTGCTGGTGCCCTGACTGTGGTGAGCCATGTGTTTTTCTGGACTCACGCATGACCTCACCCGCTGACTCCCCTAGAAGCGGCTCTCATACAATCTTAGGGAAGCTGGAGCCAGACTAGGACTGAGAGACGCTATTCAGCTTATTCCCTCCTGGGCATCTTCACCTAATAGTAACTTCAGTAACCAGTGAGGTGTTGCTGCCACTCAGGTTTTCAAAACAAAACAACATATGTTGTTTAGGTAAACTATAATGAAAAGCAAAGGAATGAGTAACACGAAAGTCAGAGTAGATATTACCTGTGGTAATGAGGGAGGGGAATGCAAGTGGGAGGGGCACACAGGTAGCTTCTGAGGTACCAGTAGGGATCTATTTCTTAACAAAACTCATGTTTTATTTAATATACTCTGTTGTAGATATATATTCCACAACAAAATAACAATTTAAATTAAAAAAAGGAGAAAATGAGAAGAAAGCAAGCAATGACAAGAAGAAAGGAATCAACCCTGATACTATAAGGGGAGAAGAGGATACTGGTAGAATTCACTTACCATTTCATACGCTACTTCCTCAGATGTATCTGTTTCTAAATTGAAACTGAATTCAATAGCTTCATTGTCTTTGTGCTTTCCTTTTAATTTTTTAGGGTCTTCAACCCAGAGTCTTAAAGCCAGGGATGAATTTAAGCAATCATCTTCCTCTGCTAACTCCACCCTTAGTCCTGTATCCTCAGCAAAAAATGCGTGGTTTAGTAGGTCCCTGATAGACAACCTAATAAACAAACAAATCTGTTATCAATTCCTCCAATCATAAACAAGTTACTTAATTCGTAAAACATGTGTCCAAGCAGCAACCTTATGTTAATTTTCTATTAATTAAACCATTAATCTGCCTTATTATAAAAGCCAAATCTTATATCCAATTTATTATTACCAAGGATGCAAAGAAATCCCAACTAACATGCATTTGTAGTGACCCTAATTAAGGATTATTAACAGTAACATCTCTAGATACCTAAAAGTATGCTTAGAGAGAATTAGAGAAGCACTCCAATACACATTAGGTGGACTGAGTATCTTCCCTAAGCCACTGGCTTAAGTTACTAAAACTCAAACAACAGATTGTCAGCAAAGGAATCTAAAAACTCTTCCAGATACATAAACTCTAAAGTAAATTAGGAATTCAAACTCTCTTACAAATGTTATAAATAGAAGTCATTAATTCTATTAACAATAATCTAGTCAGCATACTTCCCGCTTTACAGAGTGCCACAGGTGAAACTAATTTAGTTCAGCAAAGTCTGGAGATTTTCTTGAAATGATTTAAGTCCAGTGTTCTAGGCCAAAGTACACATACAATGAATATAACTCTAGCCTAATATTAGGAATTAACCATCTCTGAAGAGAAAAAAAGGACAAGGGTTCAAAAGATTCTTTTACAAGCTGGGACAGTTAATTTCCTTTTTTTTGGCTAACTTCTAAAATACATATATAATATCCAATCTATCTCTATTACAGGCCAGGGAGAGCAAAAATTGATGTATTCCATAATAGCTATGAAGAAAGTGCCTCCTATAGTATTTAAAACAGATAAGCATATTGACAGCATGGTATCCTATAAATTGAGGATTTTCAATCTACATTTTGAGTGACCAAGAGACAATCACTTAACTAAGACAGTTTTATAAAAAGAATAAGAAGCTCAGACTAGTTTTAAGGCTAAGGTGAGATGTGTTTAAGAAGGCACAACCAAGTTAAGCCCTCTGCTTCTCAATGAAAATTTTGCCTAAGTATTTTTACTATGGAATAATCACTGTAATAGCAGCAGACAATACCATTCATTAAATACTTATTACCTGTTAGATACTTTATATGCATTCATTATCTTTTTAATCATCAAAATAATACCTGTTTTAAGGAACAGCTAAGTAACTTGCTCAAGATCATACTAGCTGAATCCAGATTTGAATCTTATTCTAATGTGGAAGCCTGTGCTCTTTCCAAAACCCTAATGAGCCATGAATCCTTTGGAATATTCCAGTGTTCTTTGGTAACAGATCATAATTAAAATGCTGTACAACAACAACCAGAAACCAAACTAAGATGACTACTTCCACAGTTTAAGACTACTTCCAATAGTTTTAGCATAGCTTAAAAAAAAAAGCATGCCTGAACTCCTACAACTCAAAAACAAAAACATCAAAATAAACAATTCAATTTTTTAAAAAGGCAAAGGACTTGAATAGACATTTCTCCAAAGATATACAAATGGCCAAAATGAAAAGATACTCAACAATTATTAGTCATTAGGGAAGTACAAACCAAAACCACAATGAGATACCACTTCACATCCATTAGTGTGGTTATTATCAAAATGGAAAATAACAAGTGTTGGTGAGGATACTGAGAAATCAGAATCATCACACATTGCTGGAGGGAATGCAAAATGATACAGCCACTGTGGAAAAAAATGTAGTGGTTCTTCAAAAAATTAAGCATAGTATTACCATATGATTCAGTAATTCTACTCCTAGGTATATACAAAAAAAGAATAGAAAGCAGAGATTCAAGAACCTTGTTCACCAAGGTTTATGCAGCATTATTCACAATAAACAAAACGTAGAAATAACCCAAGTGACCATCAACACATGAACGGATAAACAAAATGTGGTGTGCATGCACACACACACACACACACACACACACACACACACACACAATAGAATAGTATTCAGCCTTAAAAAAGAACAAAATTCTGATACATGCTATAACATGGATCAACCTTGAAAACACTATGCTACATGAAATAAGCCAGATACAAAAGGACAAATATTGTATGATTCCACTTATACAAGGTACCTACATAGAGGTACAGACAGAAAGCAGAAGAGAGGTTACCAGGAGTTGAAGAGAAAGGAAATGGGGAGTTACTGTTTAATGAGCACAGAGTTTTTGTTTGGGATGATGAGAAAGTTCTGGAAATAGCAGTGATGGTTGTACAACAATGTGAATGTGCTTAATGCCACTGAATGTACATCTAAAAATGATTAAAATGGTAACCCTTAGGTTATATATATTTTATCATAAGTTAAAAATAGGGGGAGGGTGTGGCTCAATGGTAGAGTGTGTGCTTGGGATGCACGAGGTCCTGGGTTCAATCCCCAGTACCTTCTTTAAAAATAAAAAAGAAAGAAGGAAAGAAAGAAACCTAATTACCTCCCCCAACAAAAAAACAATAAAAAAATTTTAAAAATATGTATGTATCTAGATAGCCAGTTAGTACAAACACTAATGTTGTATAATAAAGCTATAATTAAACAGGATTTATTTAGTGGGTTTTTTAATATTCTCAGACATGCAACATAAACTTAGATAATTAGTAAAAATGTGGGACAATCAGTGAAATGCTGGTGGAAATAATTTCTATAAAGGATCTATCACCTTTATTAATCATAATCAATAAATAGGTAAAAATAAAAACACTACCTACCAGTTTAAATCAGCAGCTATCTAAAGCTCAAATCAAAGAGAAATATAAGCTAAAACTAAAAGGAGTTGTTCATAAGAACAATATGAATTGTGATACAGATAAATCTAAAATGCTATTTCTTGAACAAAAATAACCCTATCAGCTTTACCATTATCATGACACAAAGACATAGGGGGAAATAAAAAATATTTGGTGAGTTGGTGGTTAAACTCTTTTTTAACTATCATAAAAAAAACATTTTTGTACATATCTGAAGGTGATACTGCAGAAGCTCTCTACTATCAACTGTTAGAAGCAAGTTAACGTGGGAGGGGGCACACTGACTGTTAAACTGATGGCTGAAGGTGATGAAACTTGTCACAACACACACAGAAAAACACAACCTAAATGTTTAGGTTCAAGAAAAATTCAGCACATGATATCAAAGTCTAAAATGGCAAACAAGATGCACTGATATACTTCACTCTAGACAGTATGGTTTGGCTTCCACTCAAAAGTCATACTGAGCATGACTCAAAGGTCAGTGCAAGATAAGAGAAAAATTTATCCATCAGTTTGTCATTTCACTACATATGCACCCACCTCTCAGATTTGTTTTGACGAATACAACCCTCAATGATTTCTTTCACTTCAGGATCAGTGACTTTATTGAAACTGGCTGGTTTTATACCCTGGAAGAAGAAAAATGGTTTCTAGTCCCAAATTAAGCAATTGAAAACACAAATCAACATGACACTTAGTAAAATAATGATTTTTTAAAGCCACTAAACCGTATGTAAATTTTAAATGAGATAAATATATATACAGTGCAAGTTTAACAACTTTTTGACAAAGATTTGGTCAAAGCTCTACAAATAGCAGTGAAAAACTGTAAAACAATCTAAATCTCCGGTAACAGAGGTAATGTTACATAAATTATGGATATACACATATATGCATATGTTAATACACAGAAACCAAAAATATTCTCGAGGTAATTAATAACATGGAGAATTCTCATACTGCAACATTAAGTAAGGAAAAAAATAGTATCCCAAAATGTACATACAATATAACCCCAACTAGTAAAATAAAACAAACAAGTATTTTTTGGAATCAGAATAATCAATGTTATCAAAAATACTTATAAAAATTCCAAATAAGGGCTTCTCTATCGCAAATATTGCAAATCTATATTTCAAAGTCTTCTAGGATGGCTAGATACAATGAGCAATCAGTATATATATACGTATTATATATTTTTGTCGTTGTTATATATATTTAACTTTTGAGAAATCTATATTACTTTTATCCTCAAGCAATATTAAAATATTGAGAGAACCTTAAATTAATTATCAGATTCTAGGTATTCAATATAAAATTAATCAGGTCAATTTACAAATGTTAGCCACTATATATAAAAATAGATTAAAACAAGTTTCTTTTGTATAGCACAAGTAACTATGTTCAATATTTTGTAATAACCTTTAATGGAAAAAATATGAAAACAAATATATATATATATATGTGCATGACTGGGACATTGTGCTGTACACCAGAGATTGACACATTGTAATTGACTGTACTTCAGTTTAAAAAAAGAAAAAATTAATTAGGTCAAGATAATTCAAAACGTTCCTATAATAACTATGACAGCTGCCTAAATGCTCATTTTACATTCTATTACCCTTACGAGTTTTAGATTTAAAAAATAATACAAGATCACTGCCATCATTTAATAGCAAATTCCAAATTAAGCAAGAATCAGAAAGATATAATAGAATAATTATCATGGAATGAGGCAATCTAAGATCTAGTTCTGAGTCTGTCACAGAATACAGAATCAGAAAGTCCAGTGTCAAATGCTAGGTAAATCTAGTGAGATTAGGAGTTACTCTGGACCTCAAATTCAAGAAGCTTTAGTATAGATGGAAATCTGAATTGTGATATGGCATTTTTGTGACTTTAATATAAAAGAATAATGTCACCATTCAAAAAATGGAGTTATGTTATTCTACTTATAGCGAAAGTCCTCTTTGACCTCTCCACCGATCTCTTACCCATTCCCCAGCCCTGGATAATTATTGCCTTTCTCTGCTTCTAGGTGAAAAACACTGGGGAGCCGCAATTTACAAAATCAAGTACAGACTCTTTTCTATTTGTGGTCATATAATATATGGACCCAAACTAAATGGACATTCTAGCCTTATCTCTCTTTCTCAACTCTTTGTTATAGAAATTTTCAAATGTACTCAAAAGTAGAGTACTGTAAGAAGGCCCATGTAATCATCACCAGCTTCAACAACAAGCATCTTTTCTTAACCTTGTTTCAGTTATCTACCCCGACACCATTTTTATCCTGGAATATTTTAAAGCAAATCCTAGGCACCATGTCATTTACCCATAAAGTCTCCAGTTTCTATCTCTAATAGATATTATTTCATCATCCCACCTAAAATAATCATGAATAATTGCTTAATACCATCTAAAACCCAATTCATACTTAAATGTTTCAAATTATCTAAATGATGTCTTCTTATAGTTGTGTCTGTTCAAATCAGGATCCAAACAAGGTCCATACATTACACATATGGTGCAATGGATCTGGCTCATATCAGCTCACAAGAGCCAATTATGACATTTTCAGGAATTGTGCAAGCCGATTGTTAAACACGGACACTTACAAAAGTTAATTTATATAAACTTACAATTAAATAAATTATATTAAAAGCCAATGTAATAAATATTGGAAACACTACTCCTTAATTATTTTACTATTATTTATGATCTTGAGGTTGTTTACATCTTTTGTATCTGTATGGTGGAAATACTATATGAGTGCACTGTGCATCCCTTCTTAACCCTACATTCAGTGCGGTCACACTGGTGAATTGAAATCAATCATAGTGGGAGCATTTACACCAAGGAAATCAGCAAATGCTGGAAATCAGTACTTTTTCTTTTTCAGAGAATCAGTTGTTAAATATTTACCAGCTCATCACAACTTTTAAGTCTCTTGTATTCTGTAACAGTCTCTCCTTTCTTTTTTCTTTCATGAAATTGATTTGTTAGAGAAAATAGGTCATTTGTCCTATAGGCTGTCCCACATTCTGAATTACTTATTGTCTCCCTAAACAAACTTCTACAGTCAGACTTGAGGTCAAAATCCATCATTATTAGTAGCTTTGCGAACTTGGGCAAGCCACAACCTCTGATTCTCAGTCTCATCATTTGTAAACTGAAGACAGTGCCATTTTGTAGGGATATAAAGATGAAAGCATATAGCATACACTATGCATTTTAAAATAGTACCTGTTTAGTTACCTGAAACATTCTAACAATCTCTTTTGCAGCCTATCTTGAGCAACCTAACTGGATACGAAGTAAACCTATTTTGAACAATCCTAACACTTTGCTTCTTCCTCCCTCACATCCCTTACTATACTCTCATCCTCTTATTTTTATAGTTATTTGTGAATTCATATCATTGTCCTACTAAAAACATACGCTCTTTGTGGGCAGCAAACACCTCTTACTCATCTTTGCATTCCTTGCAATTTCTAATGCAAAAAATTACTCATAGGAGGGAATCAAATACTGTATCCATTGAATGCCATTTTATAATCAGGCTTTTAGAACTAGAAGAAACCTTCAAAACTATTTAGCCAATTTTTATTATTTAGCTTTAGAAAATAAGATCCATCTAGTAAATATCTAAACATTTTGTACAAATGGCTATAGATGATTTACCTGTACATTTTCCTCAAAGATACTAATACAGAACATATTATATGACCCCCAATAGAATATATTTTCCTCAAAGATACTAATACAGAACATATTATATGACCCCCAATAGAATATTAGGTATATAGCATAAATCTAAGCTTGTTTCATTACAATTATGTTAAATTTAGCACTGTTACACAGAACTGAACCAAAATTAAGTTTGACTAAGTTGACTTTACCATGAAATGTGGCAATTTGTGAGGTAAGAAAAATAAAGTTAATACCTACACTAGTTACTTTACGGTATATTTGAGCTGCATTCTGGCACTCCGAATAAGGGTACTCCGAAGTAGCCATTTCCAGCATACACATTCCAAAAGCATAGACATCTACAGATTCATCATAGTGTTCTTCATACATCTCTGGGGCCATAAACTCCGGAGTCCCTACAAAATACCACAACCACATTTTTATTAAAAAGAAAAATATATCCACCAAGATCATATTCCCTTTATCATAAGGATTACCTGAGTTAATTTCTGCTCCCTAAAAGCAAATATATAAATATAAAATTAGCTGAATACTTGCTATTGCTATATAAAGCACTTAAAGAATTTCCTTAACCTTCAGCAGGAGGGTATAGCTCAAGTAGTAGAGTGTATGCTTAGCATGCATAAGGTCTTGGGATCAATCCCCAGTACCTCCTCTAAATATAAATAAACCTTAATACTTTCCTTTCCAAAAAAAAGAATTTCCTTAACTCCCCATACCGATAAAGTGTAATTTGCATTGCTCAAAATTATGTAGTGATTACCAAAATCTGTTTTTATTTCTAACCTTCTTTTTAGCTATTTAAATTTTTCTCAATTAAATTAGTAAATCCTCTCTCTTCAGTCCTCAGAGGCTTTCAATAATCTTAAATATATCCCACAAAAGAAATATACTAGGATGTCTCTGAAATAAGTCAATATATAATAGATATTTCAAAGCAAATTCACATTCTAGGCCAGGGGTCAGCAAACTTCTAACTTGTAAGAGTTAGAACTTGTAAAGGGCCAAACGATAAATATTTCAGGATTTGCAATCCATATGGGCTCTATCACAACTACTCAACTCTGGTGCTGCAGTGCAAAAACAGCCATAGACAATATGTAAGTGAGTGTGTGTGGCTGTTTTCTAACAAAACCTTATTGACAAAAATAGGCAGTGAAGCCAGATTTGGCCCCATAGGCTGTGGTTTGCTAATCCTTGTTCTAGACATGTACAATTTTTAAAAAATCTCTCTTTATACAATCAATAAAGTATAAAACGTTAGTTACCAATGACACTTTTAGCAAATGATGTCCGCATTAAGGTGGCTAGTCCTAGATCACCAATCTTCACAGATCCAGTGGGTCCCGTGATGAAAATATTGTCACACTTCAGATCCCGGTGAATAATAGGAGGAGTCCTAGTGTGCAAGAACTGCAACCCCTTTAAAATTTGCCTGCACCAGCTCCTTAAGACCTTTGGTTTCATGACTTTAAATCGTTTCAAGTACCTACACAAAGAAACAAAAGACCACGTGTAAACAAACATACCTAGCTTAATGTATGAGCACATTAGGATAAATCATGTAAGCTAGCTAATATTGTATGTACTATGATTGCCATCACTGAGTTGTTTTCTATTGTCATAAAAATTTTAAATCAAGGCCTCTTTCTTAGAGAAGACATCCTACTAAGTACAGCATTTTTAACTCAAAACAAGAATTATTCCAATCAGAGTGGCCTTTTGTGAAATGACATCAAAATTAAAAATTTCCTTTAAAAGAAAGTCCTTCTCTTCTTTCTAATAACTGCTCATATAAAGCCATCAGAGGGTTTAACTACATAAAATTTTAGTACAAAGATGCTAGGAAACAAAAAAAGTACATCCCACATTTAATAGTTACAAATAAGTGGTTATATCATCAAATTAAATACTTTAGTCAGAAACAAAACAATAGACTTATAATTATTATCTCTATAATGATTTTTAATTCTAAAATTCTGTTATATCCTATAAATACTAATTTTTCAACATTGTATTTTCTAACAAACTTCATTAACATCCTAATTTTTTAACCTGCCCTGAAACAAAGTCACTAGATTCACATTCTACAAATTCTTTAATCAAGTAGTGCTACTTTACAAACAACTTTTATGACTCCTGAACATTATTTTCAAATAAAACCCCATTGGCACTATCAGGATCAACTTACGTCTTTAAGGTTCCTGATGTCATAAGTTCAGTCACTAATACAATACATTTCTTTCCTTTTAATATAGACTCCCAGGAATCATAAAATCGAACTATATTGGGGTGTTGAAGACCCTTTAACATTTCTGCTTCTTCCTTGAACCTTTGCTGCTCAGCTTTGGTTAATTTCCGGTCCTGAAATGAAGATCAAGTTCCAAATTAAAGTCTAGAAATTCTCTTGCACATTTCTAATACCACTCAAATGAATGATTTAATTTTACTGTATTTATATATGTATGTATGCATGTATTTTCATCAGTCACTTCTTTTCTCAGGACCTATATAATCATTGATATTCTCTGTGAGGTAGTTATTTGATTCCTCTCATACAGCAAAATGTAGCAATTGTTAAATTTCATAACTATATTATAAACCCACCTGCATAATAAATCAATGTCTTGAAATAATATCTTTGATGCTAACGAAACCTTTTGTGATAATCATTTCACAATATATACATATCAAATCATTACTTTGTATACCTTAAACTTATACATTGTTCTATGTCAATTATATCTCAATAAAACTGGAAAAGTATGTAAAAAATTAAGTTTCCCTAACAATTAATGATGATTAAGATGAGTAAGCTTACTTGCCATATGTCCATCTTCTTTGATGAAATATTTGTTTAAATCTTTAGCTCATTTTTAAATTGGGTTGTTTTATTTTGTTGAGTTTTGATAGTTCTTTACAGATTCTGGATACAAGTCCTTCGTCACATATGCGATTTGAAAATATTCTCTGCCAGTCTGTTGCCTGTCTTTTCATTCTCTTAACAGTGTCTTTCACAGGAAAATATTTTAATTTTGATGAAGTCCAATTTATTGATTTCTTTCTTTTATGGATCATGCTTTCATTGTTCTAAGAACTCTCTGCCCAACCAAAATTCAAAAAGATTTTCTCACATGTTTTCTTCTAGAAGTTTTACAATTTTGTTTTACTTTTAGGTCTATGCTCTATTTTGAGTTAAATTTTGTATAATGTGTGAGAGTTAGGTCAAGGTTCATTTTTTCAAATATGCACATCCAATTATTCCAGCACCTTTTGTTGAAAAGACCATCCTTTCTATGCTGAACTGCCATTGCACCATTTTTCTTTTTAAAATCACTTGACTATATCTGTTTGGGTCTACTTCTGAACTCTATTCTGTTCCACTGATCTTTGTGTTTACCTTTTTGCTAATACCATACATGTATTAATTACTACAATTTTAAAGTAAGTCCAGAAATTAGTTAACACGAATTCTTCAACCTTGTTCTTCATCAAAATTGTTTTAGCTATTCTAGCTCCTTGCCTTTCTATATTAATTTTAGAATCAGCTTGTCAACATGTAAAATAATTCCTGCTGGGATTTTGGTATAATTATTTTGAATTTCTAGGTCACATGGAAAAAACTGACATCTTAACAATAGTGAGTCTTCCAACCAACCAGTCCATTTACTTAGGTCTTCTTTGATTTCTTTAACAGTGTTTTTGAGTTTTCAGCATACAAATTCTGCACATACTTTGTTATATTTACACTCAAGTATTTTATTTTTTGGTGCTATTGTAAATGATACTTTTAAAAAAGTGCGATTTCCAATTATTCTTTGCTACTATACAGAGATAAAATTGTTTTTTTAAATATTAACTTCATATCCTTCAACCTTGTTACAGTCATTTAGTTTCAGAAACTTTTTTTAGATTCCTTGAGATTTCCTATGTAGATAATCATGGTATCTGTGAGATAGTTTCATTTCTTCCTTTCCAATCTGCATTCCTTTTATTTATTTTTTGTCTCTTATTTCATTGGCTAGGAATTCCAGTATGATGACGCTGACAGCATCATACTAAAAGTGTTGAGAGCAGACATCCTTGCCTTGTTGGAGAAAAAGCATTCAGTCTTTTACCATTAAGTATGATGTCAGCTGTTTTAAGCCATTCTAACAGTTGTATTTTTTAATAGATGCCATTTATCAGGTTAACAAGGTTCCCTTCTATTGTAAATTTGCTGAGTTTTTATCATGAATGGATATTGAATTTCTTCAAATGCTTTTCTTGTATCTATTGAAATGATTATATCTTTTCTTCTATAGTCTGTTAATATGCCAAATTACACTGATTTTCGAATGATGAACAATCCTTTCATTCCTGGGAAAATCCCACACAGTCATCACATGTTCTTTTTATACATTACTAGATTCGATGTGCAAATGTTATGTTGAACATTTTTTCATCTATGTTCATGAGGGATACTGATCTATAGTTTTCTTTTCTTGAACTGTATCTGTTTTTGGTATCAAGTAGGTGGGCTCTGGTTTGACTCTTGCTGTCTTGAGAAATCATTGCTCTAAAAGTTAGTATACAAATGAAGGTTTGGGCTTCCACTTCTAATTTCCTTTCCAGGGGGCTCTAGAGATTGAGATTTTTCAGTAAGAAGAGATAAAGTTATCACTTTCCCAATGTTTGTACTTTTATTTTCTTACCTTATTGATTCTGCTGAAATGCCCTGAAACATAATTGTGATTACAGTCATCACTGTCTTTTATTATATTTTAACAAAAAGAGCTTTATTATCTCACAGCTTAGAATGTTTACTGAGTTTTGTTTTTTTTATTGTCTTTGGATTTTTATTTAAGTTACATGCCAGCTGAGTTTTGTTTTTATCTTCACAAACAGTAATTTCCTTATATTCCTATGTTACTTTTATTTTTTAACTAGGAGTGGCTGAATTTTATGAAATGTTTTTTTCTGCACTTACTGATATGATCAAATTGTTTACTGATAGGTTCCTGATACAGAATTATTCTTAAAATCTTGAAACAAAGCCTACCCAGTTACGGCGTATCATTCTTCTGATCCACCGGTGAATTCTATTTGCTAACATTTTACCAAGGATTTTAACATCTACATTTACATGTGAGATTAAGCTACAGTTTTCTTTTTTTGTACAATATAAGGATTTGGTATTAAGATTATACCGGCTTCATGAAATTGATCAGAGTTAAGTAGTTTAACACTGGAATCACTTGTCATTTAAAGGTTACCTAGAAGTAAAGCTCTGAATCTACTTACTCCTGATGTGTTTTTTCTTTTTTTTATTACTATAAAAATAATTCAGGCATAAAGGGCAAGGTATTACAGTCATCTTTGTTGAACTTTAAGATTTTGCCAAATTTGCTTCCATCTTAACAAGACATCACAGATAATAAAGTCCTCTATATACCCTTCCTTGATTCTATCCTCTTCCTTCCCTTCCCAGAAGTAACCCCTACCTGAATTAGGTTTCTAATTCATGCAAGTTTGTAAAAAACTTTAAATTATATGCTTGTATCCATAAACAACAGTTTCACAAATGTTAAAACATATAGGTGATTATCATGTGATGTATCCTTTTCCAAATTATTTTGCTCAATATTACATTTTTATATTTATGTATTTTGAGATGTATAGCCCTAGTTTATTTATTTTAACTATTATACAGCATTTCATTAGACAGTTCTATCATAATTTATCCATTCACCCATGATGGGCATTTGGAATGATCCAAGTTTTCTTTATTACAAACAATGCTGCATTGCATATTCTCAGATGGCTCCTCGTCCTTGGTGTTAAGAGGGGGAATAAAAGCTTGAATTGCCTTTCTACATCTTCTTAATAACTGGCCTATTCAACTTTTCTTCTTTTTCTTGGGTACATTTTGGATTTATATTTTGATTACGGGGTAATCCATTACTTAAGATTTAAAATGTGTTATCAATTCTAAAGGTAGAATTTAGATGGTAGGTATTACAAATGTTCTTAGCAAATCTTTCAACTTTGCCCTATATTTGAAATGTTTCATAGTAAAATATTGGGAAAATTGATTGTCAAACTTGCACATCATGTTCTCCTATAATTCTTTTACTCTTTTCCAAAGCATGGCTATATTTCATTTCTCATTTCTTCTCTCATGTAGTTTTGCCCTCTTATTTCCCTTCATCAGGTTCGTTAATCATTTTCAAAGAGCCAAAAAGATTAGAATGTATTTATCCTATTTTTTACTGAAGTATAGTTGATTTATAATATTGTGTTAGTTTATATATATTCTTTTCCATTATAGGTTATTAAAAGCTATTGAATATAGTTCCCTGTGCTATACAGTAGGATCTTACTGCTTATCCTATTTTTATAACTTTTATTAATTTCAGTTATCTTTACTAATTCCCTCTTCCTTTATTTTGCTTTCTTTTACTGTTATTTCCCTAATGTCATAAGATGGGTATGAAATTCCCTCTAGTTATTGTTCATTAATAATGAAGACATTTTAGGTGATAAATTTTCTTCTGGGTATAGCTTCTACAATGATACACAAGTTTTGTTGCAATGTCCTCTTTTCATTGCTTTCTAGGTTGTTTATAATTTAAGTTTTGATATTTCCTCCTTGATTCAAAATTTATTTAGGAGTATGATTTCTGATCTCCAATTATATAAGAATCTTTTGGTTATTTGTCTCATTATTTATTTCTAATTTTATCAAATAACACAAAATATAAAATCTCTTTTCTTTAACTTAAGGTTTTCTTCAGGCCACACATTTAACCAACTTTTTTAGTGGCTTGTAGACTATAAAAATGTATATTCCCTATTTGAAGGATATATGGTTCTATATATTCATCAAATGGACTTTGTGGTTTATACTATCCAGGTCCTCTATATTTATGCACTTTTTGTCTGCTAGATCTGCACTATTCTGAAAGAAGTGCACCTGAAATTTCCTACTAGTTATATGTTTATCCATTTTCTTTTAATCTATTACAAGTTCTGAGTTCAAAATATTAGCCAACATTTTTTGGTGCCTACAAACCCTTATCAAAGGTCTTTTTATCTTCTTAAACGGTAAAGTAAATAACTTCATAATATCCTGTTTAATGCTCTAACTTTACTTTTTTTCTTCTGTGATAGATACTAATATTGGCTGTCATTCCTGCTCTCTCTTTGTTGGTTTATACCTTCATCTTAACATTGTTTTGTCACTATTTTAAGTACTCTTTTAGTAAACAACACATATGGGTTTTGTCTTTTAACCCCATCTGAAAGTCTGAGTTTTTTAACAAGCAAGTGCAATATGTCCACATTTGAAATAGCAAATAATATATTTAATTTTACTCCTTCCA